TCTAAGCTACAAAGGAGTTCCAATATGGCAAAAACGATCAAAGCAAAGCTCTAACCTATGCTGGGGCTCAGTATTGTAGCTAGATCTGTTATAGAGAACAAAGCATTTCAAATCTCCTAGATTTGACTGTCGGTTAAGTCTGAACCCATGCTACGTATCATATCCTGGCTTTTCTTGTTCTGGATACACTAGAACATTGAGATATAACTATTGAAAAAAACTGTTATTTTAGTGTTAGCTTATTGCAAAGATTTAATTGTGGAAAAGTGGTTACCTTAATGGGGCATATGCTTCACAAAAATATATTTTTTTGCTTGACAATTTAAATTTTTGCAGAACTTCTCTATTGCACAGCAAATGCTAAAACAATAAAGCAATTCCTTTATCCACCCGACGGTTTACCGCCTCATCGTCGCTGGATGGCGTTCTTAGGTGTCGGGCTACGATGTACGGCGAGGGGGATTCATCCCCTTGGCAGGATCTTCCAAGCTGTGAAGGAGTCTTTCGTTTCCATCAGGAACCTCAACTAAGAGTAAACCAATACCAGGATCTGTCACCGTCTTGGTCCCAAACTAGCCTCATGATGACGAATCTCTCTCTGATCCGCTTGGGATGCGGCTGCCTGTGGTAGTAGCGACCTAGGGCACAGTTTGGCCTAGCTCACCTTGGGACTCCGGGGTGTCACAGTGGCTAAACCAGCAAAACTCCTAAAAAATGGAGATTGTGCTGGAACCCGCACAACCAGTGAGGGCAAGCCATTCAAGTATCCAAGTGAGTAATTCCTTTACTCGGAACGCTAGTCAGATTATTATTTGCAAGAACGTATTGTTGCTTGTTCATCACTATTGAATTACTGATTGATTAGTAATCGAGCTGTTTCAGATTGCTGGTGCTTTACGATATGCTGTCCTTTTGTTTATACCTTCTTCGTTCAAATGAGAGAGAGCGTCGATGAGTTTACAAGCGTGGGATTCCGTGACGGAGCTGTATTTTTATTGCTCTTATATAGTGGAACTATTTAGAAAAATAAGGGATGTTGATTCCGAAACGGTACGTCCACGTTGCAGTTTTCCGCTTCCTTGGTTTAGAATCTGGTTTTGAAAAGACAAATAGGTACGGAGAAGAAGGGGTCATGGGAATCTACAGGCACGGAGCTGATCAAGATGTTTGTTTGTCTTTGCCTCAAGATGAGTAATGCGCCACGACTGGGATAATTCTTCGATTCCAAATGATGATTAAATATATCGTGATTTTGGTTCTAATGTTGCGCTAAAAAAGATTTTGCTAGTGGTTAGTTCGTTACAATTTCGCGTAAAAAACAAAGCACGAGGTTAGCATAAGCTGAATGAGAGATATGTTGCTTCAGTTTACTATTTTGTCATGTCGTGTTTACTACGAAAGCACCTACTTTAGCCTATACAGTCTGGTAGATTATGCTCTTTGTCCGACTTTTTGCATGCTAGTTCAAAAGATTTTCAGAAGCTGCGCATTGATGATTCCTTCGTACCGACTAAGGAGGAGAAAGGAGAACGGAGAGATAGAGGCAGCGATGGAGGTAAAGAAGGAGCGAGCGAGGTAGAGAGGGAGATATGGAAAGATGTAGTTGCAGAGAAAGAGAGAGAGAGAGAGAGGAAGACAGACTATGATTCAATGCATATTAGGGAAAGAAGCACGAACGTGAGATCTATTGCATTTAAAATGAAGGCGTACGCCGGTAAAGAAACGTCCATAAATAGCACTCTCGGTGAAAAAGTCGTGATGAACTTCATGAACGGCACTCACGAAGGAAGAAATGTATGTGAGAATAAATGGTGCAAGAGTTTGCTATTGCTGAAAGATTTTATCGAAAAGAAGGTCTGCTTAATAGGAATGTATAAGAACAGTGAGAAAGCCTTCTAAACAACTGAGGAATTAAAAAATGCTGAGGTGAGAAAGCTGATACCATTGAAACGAAATCAGAACGATGCCACGACCGACTTTCTATTAACCTCGGTATTGATCAAGTAATTTTCTTCGTATTTTTGTTGAGCAAACGCGAGGTGTTATTATTCTTTGTTCACGATTAAGCTGACGTTTCGGCGGATTTCGCCTTCCTCAGAGCCGCTTCCTATGAGGTTTCCACTAAGTATGTCACGTAAAGACCAACCGCACAGAAATCACATGAAGTATAATGTCAGAACGATGTAATTGTGCTAAATTAAACGATATTCGGAATGATTTACTTTCAGCGTCAACCTTTATTATATCGATTAGCTCCATATGAGAACGCTGGATATGGCAGTGACGGTAAGGAAGGTCTTCCCTCTCATGAGGTCAATTTTTGGGATACTTAGATGTTATTCTTAGACAGCGCACTAAACTATTTCTTACTATTTGTGATTTAAACTAAAATTACTTGCATCCTAATTTACACTCGCAGTCCTCGAAAGAGTACGCTATTTTATTTTGCGAAATTATGTAACGATTTCTATGATGCTGAGATATTTGCAAAATTCCGGAACGCAGGTGTCTTCGGTGGGGAACGAACGCGCTATTGTCCTTTTCGGGGGGTAACGCGTTCAACACCACACCATGCAGGCCGATTTGGGATCCCAGATCAATTTCGCTGACTGGTTATTGCTGATGGAAGAGATTAAGAAAACTAGCTGAAAGACAGGCGAAAAGGAGGACCCACATGGTGTGGTGGTGAACGCGTTACTCCTCGGAAAGGACATTAGCGCGTTCGTTTCCCGCCGCAGACACCTGAGGTCCGGAGTTTTGCAAATATCTCAGCATCATAAAAATCGTTACATAAATTTAAGACCACTTCTTTCTAAGACCCCCTTAACGGCGCAACTTGCTTTATTTGATATGAAGGATAGCTTTAAATGGATCTTACTCATGTCCGAAACATTCTTTTGGAAAACAACCGCACGTTTTTGTTTGACCCAAGTGGCTTCTTCCTCGCAGCCGTTGGAAATGGTTATTTTTCGTGTTAGGTTTAGCGATTCTTTCCTTTCCTCTTCTTCTGTGGGGAGATTTCTAGCCATACGGCACATGTTTTTGATAAGTGCTTTTTTCATGTGTGAAGGATGAGGGGAGAGGTAGTCAACTAGCACGCTTTTATTACTTCGCTTACGATACCATAGCCGCTTTCTGAGAGCTTTATTTGGATGTTTAAGAATAGAAGCCAGTTTTCGGTAGGTTTCTCTCGTGTAAATTTTATATACTCTGACTGTCGGTTTAATATGTATTCTTTCTTGATAAGCTTGCACGAGGTTGATAAATATATTTATTTTCGGCTAACTTTTCGACGTCTTCTTCTTCCTCAGAGCCGGTGATCCGAGTCGATGGTCCATGCTTGTTGTTCGCCTCGACGTTGCGTCTTCGCCTTCGTGTCGAGCCAGATTTTCCTCAGTGAGCCATCTTTGAAATGTCGGTTTAATAATTCAAAGCACTCATCCATCTGTTCTTACGTGGAACAGACAATGAAGCAGTCGTCTATGTATCGACAGTAGAGAAAGCGTCGGCGATCGAGAACTGGAGCTCCCATCTTAGACATGAAAACGATGGCAAGGCTTGGTATCAATTGCAGTCTCATGGCCAGCCCTCTAATCTGCTCAAAATATCTTCCCGACCATCTAAAGATTGAACAACAGAGGTACTGTGTTAGAAGCGTCATTCGTTGTTGAATCGAAAAGCCGTACAAGTTTATTTATCTTTCATGTTCTGCGAGATGCTCGAGTATGGCTTGCACTGCGAAGTCATTCGAAAGGTTGGTATAAAGTGAGGTAAAATTGAATGACTCCATTAGAAGCGTGGTGCTTAGTTGCGCGCACTGTTGGCGGTTTAGAAATGTTTTGATGTCAGGTAAATTAGGTAAATGGGCTGGATTGAATTTTAACAACTGGGTCAGTATGAGGTTTGGGAGCCACACTATTCTATCCGCTTGCCCGCTTATTCAACTGATGATAAATTTAACTTAAAATGATGATGGTTCGATGGACATAATAGCGCCAGTTGAAATAGGCTTATGTGTTTTAGTAAGCAATTAAAGGACAGGACAAACTGGATTGTCATTTTTTAGCTAAGAAATAACTGAAGGTTCTAAACACTCTGCCTTCGCCGTTTTGACCCATTCTTTTTTAATTTTCGGTATTGACTTTTATATTCCTTTTCTGAGTAATGTCGATAGAGCAAAATAGTGTTGAGGTGTTTCTTTGTTACTTTAACAACCAGCTGACTAGGAATATCTTCAAATTCACTGCTTTTCGAACTAAGAGATAGGTGGTTCGGTTTTGAGTCCATAAGCTTCTAATCTGGTGCACGCCACATTTTTCTACGTGTGTAAGGCTAGAGGTTAATTTTCTATGCCGGTAGTGATTCAGTATTTGGAGCTTTCCGTCCGAAAATAAGAGCAAAGCAGGGTCAATCTCGCTGTTTGGTTGACCGTGCCCATAGAAAGCTTAAGGAAAAGGTATTGGTGCGGTGCATTCTTTGTCTTTCGTTACCTAACTTTTTTAGCCCAACCTCATAATGCAGTTGATCTTGAAGTCCGGAAAGGCTGCACGTGTTCTTGCGCAGTATTGTTCTAAAAATGAGTTAACTTGGTGCCCCACCCTCGACGCTGGACGTGTGAGTCTTCCAACGGATCATTGAACATCTTTCATTAACGCTATGAAAGCTGAGAGTTTGAAAGTCAACAAGAACTTCTATCTCCTGAAACAGTGGAGACAATGGGCCAGTGTGGAGTCGCACGAGCTGCAGAAAGCCGCGAGCTAACGTCTAAACTTGCAAAACAATGCAGACAGGCGATAAAAGAGGATCTTAAAAAGAGAACAGCTGCAGTAATGGTCGAAGCTACAGAGGCCGAGAAAAGCATTGGAAAAGCCCAGCGAAGGTTCGCCAGTTAAAAAACCATGTTGATTGCACTCCGACGCCCATGCGAAACAATCCAGAGAGGCAATGGAGAAAATCATTTACGAATACTACTCAGATCACTTCGATAGCCACGTCCACCTTCATTCATATGAAATAAAGGAGGACGGATACGTTATACCACCGGCTCTCCCTTGCAAAATCCGACATGCCATTTCGTCGCTGAAAAATCGAACAGCATCAGATCCGGAAAGCATAAGATCTGAACCCCTGAACAGCCTTCAGCCAGTCCTCGTAAACACACTGGATTGACTCTTCGCAAGTTACTTGTTTGAATGCAAGGTCCCTACTCATTGGGAGACCATCAAAGCGGTACTATTGTTCAAGAAGGGCGATCTCCAACATTTCAGCAACTATAGCCCAATCTGCTTGCAGACTGTCGTCTACACGCTTTTCACTCGAGTCAAGCCAAATAGGATTGACAGAACACTGAAAGAAAAGCCGTAATGTGAGCAAACAGGGTTTCGAAAAGGACTTCGTACGATGGGCCTCATCTACAAGATAACAAGACCCATCAAAGTATCGCGACAGTACAAAGGACCGCTTTGTCACATTCATCGATTTAAAAAGGTCTTTGACTCAACTGAGATATAAGCAGTTATGAACGTCCTTAATATTCAAGGAGTCTCTACTCAGTACATAAAGATTTTTCGTGAGTTGTACAGAAATTTTGCAAACAAAATTATTCAGCGCCACCCTCGAAAACTTCATGCGAACATTGCAATGAGACAACATGGGAGTGAAAATAGATGTTCGGGAATTACACCACGTTCGCTTTGCTGATAAAATCGTTCTTAAAACAAGAAATATTAGCCAAGAGGAACGAATACTTGTCGTCGAATTGACGATGCAAGGAGTATCTTGTGTCACAGAAATAAGAGAAGGGTTCCAAAGCTTCGACTTGCTTCAACGGTCAGAATTCAGCGATGCTGTTTTATACGGCAAAATATCGAACATAAGGAGAACCGGCCACCTAATGTGTATGAACGACAACCGATGGACAAAAACCGTTAGTGACTGGATTCCTCTGGATGTTAAACGCGTTGCAGGTAGATCACCGACTCGGTTATCAGGGTTTTCCTCTAAAACCATGAAAGAAAGGTGTAGTCTCTTTGTCTATTCAGCAGCTTATAGCACTCTTAATAAAGCGCCTAAACTGCTGCATTTTCAGATGGTCTGAGAATTACTAGGCGCAAATGAGAGGGTTCTTATTTGGGACAAAGGCTGGCACCAAGTCTCGCCATCGCGTTTATGTCTAAAATATAGGCTTCCGTTGCCGATTTTGAGCCACTACCCTACTGCAGACTAGGGATGGCCCTCATACGAGGAGTACCGATAGCCGATTAGTTGAAATGCTACATGGTGTTTTCCCAGATTGCGAATAGGGAATTAATCGCGGACCATAAGCGATATTGCTTCCCTGAGACGCAGGTGGATCTATGAGATGGACTCTCTGTTTCAGCTGCGCCGAGTTGGCACATACTTTCTGTATTTGCTTGGCGTATTCATTCATGTGTGTGCGAGTGCGTTCTTGCTTATGCGGATTGTATTCCACGAGTCAATTTGGCCAAAAGCCTGCAATCAAGTGACTGGAAGTATATGGATGGCGGTTAGGAGTCGCCTCCAATAAATAAGCTCCATGTCCACTCTGGGAAAGACTGATAAGCTACCCGTGAGTATACCCAGCTTTCAAGTTCGGAGCCCATCAGGCTATACGTGGGTATCAAAATGCTAGAGACAGTAAAAAATGGCCTCATTTCCCTGATCTCGAAAGAGCCCCAATTTCATAGCGTTGGATAGGACGAATACGGAGAGGCTGCTAAAATCTCAAGGCCAGTGGAAGCTACATGGATTACAAAGAACTATGGTGATGGTCTGTACCTACACGGCACGTACACTTGCATCCGAGTCCTCGATAGAAGACTTGCCCATGCAAGCGAGAAGGATAACGCACGACGTCATCGGCCTGGCCGAAGCGAGAAGACGCCAGCCTTTCAACGCCGTCTTTGACGCCGGAGAAGAACTGTTCCTCGGAACATGTGGCAGTAGAGGAGTCGGCGGCGTCGGCGTTTTCGTCAACACGAGTTTGTCTATGAGCATCGACTCATTCGAACAGCTTAAAACCCGAATCGGACTCTTCATCGTTTACGCCCTTACATCAAACTATAACGAAGAAGAAGTCGAAGCGTTCTCTATGGAGTCGGAGAAGTTTTACAGAAAAAGCCATACATTCTCCAAGGTCATCATTGGAAATTTTAACGTAAAGACTGGACCGAGGACGAAAACGGAGAGCAATTATCTGAGTTTAACATTGCGACCGAGACCATCCGTTGTAACTCGCAATTCCAGAAGCCCCACCCTCAACGCTGGACGTGGGAGTCTCCCAGTGGAGAGTACCATAAAGAAATAGACCACATCACAGTAAACCGAAGGTTTTGTGTAACCGATGTCGCTGCTTTCCAAAAATTTTAAACAGGATCAGAGCACTGTCTCCTTCATGCAAGATTCTACTTTTCCCGGAAAGAAGAAAAGCCGCTAAATTCAAAAACCGAAATTACCAAAACCACCATAAACTGGGACTTATTCGATTCACTAGTCCGCAGTTGAGAAGATGGCGTTTTCCATAACATCGACGAGCAATACAATCGGCTCACTGAGCATCTTTCACTAACGCTGGAAAAATTGAGAGTTTGAAAGTCAACAAGAACTTCTATCGCCAGAAAGACTGCAGGTGACAGGACAGTGTGGAATCGCACGTCGAAGCTGGAGAGGCTGGAAAAAACATACGCAGTGTCCACCGTAGTTTCGCCAATTACGTGACCAAGATTATTGCACTCCGACGCCCAGACGGAACAGTTAAAGCGTATGGAAAATCAATAGAAAAATCCTTCGAAAGACCGACTTTCTATGAACCTCGGCATAGATAGTTGATATATTTATTTATATGATCTTATAAACTGATCTTCTTAAGCTGACGCGAGGTCGATACAGATCTTCGTTGTCGTTGTCGTTGTCGTTGTTTTTGATGTTATTGAACGATGGCTGACGTTTCGGCGACTTCGCCTTCCTCAGAGCCTGGACGTACTTTATGTCATAATACTTTTTATTATTCGCTGGAAAAGAAGGTTAAGGTATTAATGAAGATCAAACTTTCAAATAGACGCCATATTGAACAGAAAGGCCACTCACCGTGATGTTACGTGCGGGACTGGCCCACACGTAGTTCACGTGGAGTCGCGAGCAAGACACGCCCCGGAGTCAAAATATCATTTTGAAATAGGGCGCCAGGTCACGCGTGATAGTGAGGCATTCGTCCTTCCGGTTCATCTTTGGATTTTTGAAATTTATCCAAAACGCCTCAAGAGTTTTGCGCGTTGATGTTTTTGATTCCTGCGCTAGGATCCGCACATTCAGTTCAAAATCATCGCCGTTGTGCTTTTGTGCCCTATGCGTACCTAGAGGGGTGTTTAAACGGATTTTAGCTTTTCCATCTAGATGTTCTTTTATGCGGACACAAAGTGGTCTACCCGTTTCCCCGATATATTCCTCGCCGGATGCATTACATGAGATCAAGTATATTATACCTAAACTCATGCAATCCCCGTCTCTCCCGTTAGGACAGATCATACAGTTTTCTGAGCTGCACAAACGATCATAGAGACGGTTTCGAACTAACTGGCNGTATTAATGAAGATCAAACTTTCAAATAGACGCCATATTGAACAGAAAGGCCACTCACCGTGATGTTACGTGCGGGACTGGCCCACACGTAGTTCACGTGGAGTCGCGAGCAAGACACGCCCCGGAGTCAAAATATCATTTTGAAATAGGGCGCCAGGTCACGCGTGATAGTGAGGCATTCGTCCTTCCGGTTCATCTTTGGATTTTTGAAATTTATCCAAAACGCCTCAAGAGTTTTGCGCGTTGATGTTTTTGATTCCTGCGCTAGGATCCGCACATTCAGTTCAAAATCATCGCCGTTGTGCTTTTGTGCCCTATGCGTACCTAGAGGGGTGTTTAAACGGATTTTAGCTTTTCCATCTAGATGTTCTTTTATGCGGACACAAAGTGGTCTACCCGTTTCCCCGATATATTCCTCGCCGGATGCATTACATGAGATCAAGTATATTATACCTAAACTCATGCAACCCCCGTCTCTCCCGTTAGGACAGATCATACAGTTTTCTGCGCTGCACAAACGATCATAGAGACGGTTTCTAACTAACTGGCGGCGTAGGGTATTGGGTGGGATGTCAACAATCGTTACATAATTTTCAAGACCACTTTTTCTTAAGCACTTTTTAATGGCGTGACTTACTTTATTTGATATGAAGGGCAGCTTAAAGGGAATCTTATTTTCGTCTGAAATATTATTTTGGGGAACTACCCAGTGTTTTCCTCTAACCCGAGTGGCTTCTACTTCGTAGCCATTGGAAATGGCAATTTTTCGTGCCAGGTTTCGCGATTCCTTCCTTTCCTCTTCTCCTGTGCACACATTTTTAGCCGTACGATACATATTTTTATANAGGACAGATCATACAGTTTTCTGCGCTGCACAAACGATCATAGAGACGGTTTCTAACTAACTGGCGGCGTAGGGTATTGGGTGGGATGTCAACAATCGTTACATAATTTTCAAGACCACTTTTTCTTAAGCACTTTTTAATGGCGTGACTTACTTTATTTGATATGAAGGGCAGCTTAAAGGGAATCTTATTTTCGTCTGAAATATTATTTTGGGGAACTTCCCAGTGTTTTCCTCTAACCCGAGTGGCTTCTACTTCGTAGCCATTGGAAATGGCAATTTTTCGTGCCAGGTTTCGCGATTCCTTCCTTTCCTCTTCTCCTGTGCACACATTTTTAGCCGTACGATACATATTTTTATAAAAATAAAAATGCACGGCTTGTCGATTGCACAACTAATGACCCTCCTAAAACAGTGTCTTAGTTGTTCAATCTTTAGGTGGTCTGGAAAATATTTTGCACAAATTAGAGGGTTGGCGATGAGGCAGCGTTTAGCACCAAGCCTTGCCATCGCTTTCATGTCTAAGGTGGAAGCTCCAGTTCTCGATCACCGACCCTTAAGCTACTGGCGATACATAGACGACTGCTTCATCGTTTGTTCCACACAAGAACAGATGGATGAGTGCTTTGAAATATTAAACCGACAGTCAGAGTATATAAAATTTACACGAGAAAAACCTACCGAGAACTGGCTTCCATTCTTAAACATCCAAATAAAGCTCTCAGCAAGTGGCTATTTAACAAAAAAAAATGGTATCGCAAGCAAAGTAGTAAAAACATTCTAGTCCACTGCCTCTCCTCTCATCCTTCACACATGAAAAAAGCACTTATCAAAAATATGTATCGTACGGCTAAAAATGTGTGCACAGGAGAAGAGGAAAGGAAGGAATCGCGAAACCTGGCACGAAAAATTGCCATTTCCAATGGCTACGAAGTAGAAGCCACTCGGGTTAGAGGAAAACACTGGGTAGTTTCCCAAAATAATATTTCAAACAAAAATAAGATTCCCTTTAAGCTGCCCTTCATATCAAATTAAGTAAGTCACGCCATTAAAAAGTGCTTAAGAAAAGGTGGTCTTGAAAATTATGTAACGATTGTTGACATCCCACCCAACACCCTACGCCGCCAGTTAGTTAGAAACCGTCTCTATGATCGTTTGTGCAGCTCAGAAAACTGTATGATCTGTCCTAACGGGAGAGACGGGGATTGCATGAGTTTAGGTATAATATACTTGATCTCATGTAATGCATCCGGCGAGGAATATATCGGGGAAACGGGTAGACCACTTTGTGTCCGCATAAGACAACATCTAGATGGGAAAGCTAAAATCCGTTTAAACACCCCTCTAGGTACGCATAGGGCACAAAAGCACAACGGCGATGATTTTGAAGTGAATGTGCGGATCCTAGCGCAGGAATCAAAAACATCAACGCGCAAAACTCTTGAGGCGTTTTGGATAAATTTCAAAAATCCAAAGATAAACCGGAAGGACGAATGCCTCACTATCACGCGTGACCTGGCGCCCTATTTCAAAATGATATTTTGACCCCGGGGCGTGTCTTGCTCGCGTAAACTACGTGTCGGCCAGTCCCGCACGTAACATCACGGTGAGTGACCTTTCTGTTCAATATGGCGTCTATTTGAAAGTTTGATCTTCATTAATACTTTAGCCTTCTTTTTCACCGAATAATAAAAAGTATTCTGACATAAAGTACGTCCAGGATCTGAGGAAGGCGAAGTCGCCGAAACGTCAGCCATCGTTCAATAACATCAAAAACAACGACAACGACAACGACAACGAAGATCTGTACCAACCTCGCGTCAGCTTAAGAAGATCAGTTTATAAGATCATATAAACAAATAGAAAAATCATTTACGAATGCTACTCAGATTTTTTTGACAGCCACGACCACCTTCCGTCATATGAAATAAAGGAGGATGGATATGTTGTACCACCGGTTCTCCTTTCCGAAATCCGACATGCCATCGTCGGTGAAAAATCGAACAGCACGTGGCCCGGATGGAATAAGATCACAACACCTGAAGAGCCTTCCGCCAGTCCCCGTAAACACACTGGCTCGTCTCTTCACACGTTACTTATCTGAATTCGAGGTTCCCATTCAATGGAAGATCAGCAGGACCGTGTTATTGTTCAAAAAGAGTGACCTACACGACATCGGCAACTATCGCCCAATCTGCTTGCTATCTGTCGTCTACAAACTTTTCACTCGAGTCATCATAAACAGGATTGACGGAACACTGGACGAGGAACAGCAATGTGAGCAAGCAGGGTTTCAAAAAGGACTTAGTAGATGGAGTGCATCCACACGTTAACAAGGCTCACTGAAGTATCAAGAGAGTACAAAAGACCTCTCTGTCTCACTTTCATGGATTTGCTGAGCGCTTTTGATTCAACGTATTTCTTCGATAACCAGACACGAGGATGTTATTATAGAATTTAATAGGATACAATAACCGACGTTTGTTTTCTTTCTGATGTTTCGAACCGCTGCCAGCGCTTGCACAGGTAAGGATCAGAGGAAAGAATCCTCCAAACTGGCGCGCCAAATAACTATTCAAATGGTTACGAAGCTGCAGCTTCTTGGCATAGGCATAGAGGGAAGCCAACGCCCCAGAGCGATAATTCTAGAGAAAACAAGGCTCTGTTTCCCTTGCCCTTGTTTTCACACGAAATAAGTGCAGCTATAAAACGTTGCTTAATAAGGGCCGGTCTAGAGAATTCCGTAACAGTGATAGAAATACCAACCGACGCTCTAAGACGCCAGCTATTTTACGACCACCTATATGACCGTTTATGTATAACGAAGAACTGCGTAATTTGCCTCAACGGTAGAGACGGTGATTGCATGAGTTCGGATACAGTCTATCTGATCTCTTGTAAAGCGTGTGGAGACGAATACGTTGGCGAAACGGGTAGACCACTCTGCGTCCGCATAAAAAAAACACCTAGTCGGTAAATCTAAATTAAAACCAAACACTCCACTAGGCGCGCATAGGATGCAGGAACCCAACGGAGATTTTGAAGTTGGAGTCACCTTCCTCACGCACGAATCGAAAACGTCGGCGCGTAAAGCTCTTGAAGCGTTTTGGATCAATTCCAAAAATTCAAAAATGAACTGCAAGGAGGTGTAACTTGTCATCATGCGTGACCTGGCACCATACATCAGGCTAATCCAATGACCTGACACAAGCGCAGTTATCGCCCATGTGTTACTCTGTGCGGCTGCTATCCATACAATGTTCACTTTGACGTCAAAAGAGCAGTTAGGTAAGGCGATATCATCTCGCCGAAATTATTTGTCGCCACCCTCCAGAGCGTCATGAAAACATTGGAATGGGGTAATATGCAAGTGAAAATAGATGGTCGGCAAATGCACCATCTTCGCTTTGCTGTTGACATCGTCCTTATGACACCAAACATTGGCCGAGCGGAACGTATGCCTACCGCTTTCGATAAAACCTGTGGAAAGATCGGTCTACGACTAAATCTGACAAAAACGGCGTTCATGAAGAACGGATTGGTTTCGTATGCCCCACCCACGCTCAACGGAACGAATATCTTTGAGTGCTGCAGTTATGCCTATCTAGATCGGGAAACCAGCGTGCTGAACGACTTTGCTCCAGAGCTGAGCAGAAGGAAACGAGCAGCTTGGGAAGCTTTCAAAAGCGTGGAGGATTTAGTGAAGAGAACAAAAAACATCCGACTTCGTGCCCGGTTTTTCTACTCAGTGGTACTTTCTGCGTCAACGTATGCGTGAGAAACCTGGTCGCTGCGTTAGCAGGATGAAATATCATGCGGCGTTCTTGAACGCGCAGTCGAAAGGACGATGCTTGGAGCTTTCCGTGTCACGCAAATAAGGGAAGCGATCCGAAGCTCGACCTGCGTCAACAATCAAAAATCAATGATGCCGTTCTGTTCGCCAAGCAATCCCAGATAAAGTGGGTTGGACACGTAGTGCGTATGAACGACAACCGATGGACAAGAGCCGTTAGTGACTGGAATTCTCGGCATTTCAAACGCACTGCGGAAAGACCAGCGATTTAATGGTTAGAGTTCTTCACGAAAAACGTAGAAAAACGATATGATGCTCGACGAATCCCTAGAACGAGCAGAACCCACTTGGCTACTCTTGCACGCGAGAGGGAGAAATGGAAGATTTACTGGCGCCCGCTCGAGTCACTCGACGATCAGTGAGATAGCAGGTGATACATGTGACACAGGTGATAGTTAGTACATTATAGTTAACTGCTTCTTGTCGCCAGCATTAGGTATTTCTCAGCTTCGACTGCGAAAGCGCCTAAGTTTTATTTGTTATTACATTCCACATTATCTATATTCTATTGGACTCAGTAAGCCTACAAGAAGCCCGATATTTTTACCTGAATCGCAATTTAAATTGCCCTTAATCCACAGCGGAGAGAACGCTTGGACTATCGCCGTATGCACTTTTTTCGAAGACACTGAAAGAAATTCTTTAATAAAAAGAATCATCGAAAAAATCATAGAATTCTTTCAGTAGCAGCTTAACAAACCGTTTGATGCTTTCGCTACTCCTGTCATTCACATGGTTGAGCTTGCTTGAGCTTTTCAATGCATCAGTTCGGTGCATTTGTCTTTTCGGAAAAGTCTAATTGCGACTTGTGGACACAGAAGTGAAGGACCACTTTGTTATATTGGAGCGCCTGACCGAACAAACGATCTAATCTAACTGCCACGACCGACTTTCTATTAACCTCGGCATTGATCAAGTGATTTTCATCGTATTTTCGTTGAGCAAACGCGAGGTGTTACTATTCTTTGTTCACGATTAAGCTGACGTTTCGGCGGATTTCGCCTTCTTCAGAGCCTGGAAAGGTCAAGTTGATAGCAATCCACTCGGCCAGACGCCTCCATAACCAAACAAAGAAACTCCAAACCAAGATTTCAATCACTTTGAACACAGCTTTGCACACTCACCGCTTTCTATGAGGTTTCCACTAAGTATGTCACGTAGAGACCAACCGCACAGAAATTACGTGGAAGTATACTGTGCCCCTCACATCAGAAAAGCAGTTTTATATACTGCCCTATATCACGCGTGATAATGAGGCACTCTTCCCTGCGGTTCATTTTCGGATTTCTGGAATTAATCCAGAGTGCCTCGAGAGTTTTTTGCGCCTGTGTTCTTGATTCGCGTGCGAGGATCGTAAAACATACTTCGAAGTCGTCCCCGTTATGTCTCTGGGTCCTATGCGTGCCAAGCGGGGTATTTGGTCTGTTTTTACCGGCTAGGTGCTCCTTCATGCGGACACAGAAGGGTCTACTTGTTTCGCCAATGTATTCGTCACCACACGTCTTACAGGAGATCAGATAAACTATACCCGAGCTCATGTAATCACCGTCTCTACCACTGGGGCAAATCATGCAATTTTGAGTTGCACATAGACGGTCATATAGGCGGTTACGAACTAGCTGGCGCTTAAGATTACTCGGTGGTATTTCAACTACGCTCACCGAATTCTCTAAGCCCGCCCTTCTTAAGCAGCGTTTTATAGCTGTACTTATATCATTTGAGATGAAGGGTAGGATAAACGGGACCCTTCTATCGCTAGAGTTGTCGTTTGGAAGCCTACGATTTCCTCTACACCTATTCTAAGCTACAGTTTCGTAGCCATTAGAAACGGCTATTTGCCGTGCCAAGTTCTGGGACTCCTCTCTCTGCTCTCTTCCCGTGCACACGTTGGTTGCTGTTCGAAACATGTTTCTTACAAGCGCCCTTTTCGTGTGAGAGGGGTGAGAGGAGAGGTAATGGACCAAGATGTTTTTACTACTTGGCTTTCGGTACCACTTTGTAATGTAGCCATTTTCTGATAGGTGAATTTGTACGTTCAAAAATGGAAGCCAATTTTCTTTCGGCTTTTCTCGGGTGAACTTGATATACTCTGACTGTGCGTTTAACAATTCGAAGCATTTGTCCATTTCCTCTTGTGTTGAGCAAAGGACTACAGTAGAGTAGCGGCCCGAGATCAGTCACCGGTGCTTCCACCTTAGACATAAATGCAATGGCAAGACTTGGAGCCAGTCGTTATCCCATTGCCCACCCTCTTATTTGACCGTAGTACTTTCCGGCCCATCTAAAGATTGAGCAGCTCAAGCATTCTTTTAAGAGTGCCATCAGGTGCTCTTTCCTGAAGCCATATATGTTTATTTCTCCTTCGTGTTGTGTAAGGAGTTCGAATATGGCTTGCATTGCGGAGTCATTCGACACGTTTGTATAAAAGGCGGTAACGTCGAAGGACTCCATCACGGACGCGCTGTTGGGCTGCGCAGCACGTAGGCGATCCAGAAACATCTGGGTATTCGTAAGATGGGCTGGAATGTGTTTAGCTTAATCGTCAGCTTAATCGTGAACAAGTAATAGTAACACCTCGCGTTTGCTCAACAAAAATGCGAAGGAGATCTAATCTAAGTCTAATCGTCGCATATTGTTATCACACACAACATGCTTTTTTGGGTTGCGTTGTCTTATATCGTGTTTGTGACTGAACCATGTTTCCTGCAAAAGGTGCAGTGATGGACATGATTGAATACACTACAGAGTGATGAAACCAGAGAGGTTTCACGTGAGTGTTACTTTGCAAATATCTCAACTTCAATGTGGTTGTATCACATATCCTGTCGTGAAAAAACGTAGGATGGAGCGAATAAAAAAATGACGCTGTGGTTTTATCAAAATTGTTTTGGAATATCTAAAAGACGTATGGGGAATGAAGGAGGTTGGCTAATGAGTGTGGCACAAATTGAATAACAATCAAAGAATAATCCGCTTTGAAAAATCGTCGACGCTTCTTCTGCGCAATTAGAACGACTCGTTTCCTGACAGAACTGTCATGGGTGACAAAAAATAGATTCTCTGCGACAGTCAGCCACCACGGGATCAATGAATGGGCTATTGGTGGTTTGTGCTGGATCATTCAGTAACTGCTGTATATTATAACATGCAAATGCTATTCAATGTTACTCGGTTGCACGTTTTCGCCTGCGGTACATTTGCGTCATGTCTTTTAGCGCTTATAGTACTTTCTGCAAAATTACAGAAACTCAACGACAAGAGAAAACTAGTACAACTTTGGTTTGGTATAGAGAAATAAGAACGAGTTAGGGATAAATGGCATATACAGTGGAGTAACAATGCTAAACATCAAACCTTATAAATGCGTTGAACTTTCTGAATTAGTTAAGGAGGGTTCACAAGGCTTAAAATTTAGGGAAAAAGGTTAGTAATTGTAGATCTTCCGATTCTGTCCAATTCGTCGTAGGCCTTAAGAGGTTAATCGTTACCAAAAGTGGGAGATCCTTCGATTTGAACATATAGCATTCCTGCTGGGTAATCATCATGCAAGCTCTGCTTTTAGCGCGTTACCTCTCATAATGCAAAGCTACTGTTCAATGGAAGAATTCGATGATATTAAGATATTTGCAAAACTCCATAGCAAAGGTGTCTGCGGTGAAAAAAGAAAGCGTTATTACTCTTTTCGCTTTTGCCATCAGCAATCACCCGTCAATAGGGTTGAGCTGGGCATCCCAAATTGGCATTGAACCCAGTTAAACTGAGACTGTGGTTTGAACAACAATCTTAACCTTTTTATTTACTGTCTACTACAACTTTTTATGGCGAGATATTATGCGGAATGCGACCACGATGGTGCGGGTATATTTGCAAAACTCCTCACCGAGGTGTCTGCGGAGGGGAACGAACTCGATATTACCCTTTCCGCCGGCTAACGGTTCACCACCACACCATGCGGGTTCTTTGTTCCTCCTATCTCTCGGCTAGTTCCATCAGGCGAAATGAGAGACAGGCGAAATGAAGGGCCCGCATGGTGTGGTGGTGAGCCGTTAGCCTCCGCAAAGGGTAATACGTGTTCGTTTCCCACCGCAGGCACCTGGGGCCCGAAGTTTTGCAGATATCTCAGCATCGCCGTGGTTGCATTTCGCATAATACCCTGCCATAAAATAATTGTAGTAGGCAGTGAATGAAGAAGTTAATACGGTGATGCAATTGTGACCTCCATCATACCAGCTACCACCCTCCAATCTATTTACTGTTTTTCGTTCAAAAATTTTTAACTCTAGCCATCCTAGACAGAATTCACAGAACACTGGACTAAGGACAGCGTGAGCAAACAGAGGTTCGAAAAGATGTCGGGTTCATGAGGAACGGATTGGTTTCGTATGCCCCAATCACGCTCAGTGGAATGAATATCTCCGAATGCTCCTGTTAGGTCAATCTAGGTCGGGTAATCGACATTATCGATGACTTAGTTCCTAAGTTGAACAAGAGGAAAAAAGCGGCTTGGGAAGTCTTTATGAGCATCAAGGATGTAGTATAGAGAACAAAGAACACCCGATTCCGTACTCAACTTTCGGCTTCACGATTCCTTCTGCCTTAACGTGTGCCTCAGAAAGCCGGTCGTTTCGTAAGCACGATGACAGGTTACTTAGCGTTATTGAACGCGCAGTCGAAAGGGCAATACTAGGAGTAACTCTGGCCACACAAATAAGAGAAGGAATCTGAAGCTCCGACCTGCGTCGATGATCAATAATCAAAGATGGCGTTTTGTGTGCCAAACTGTCGAGGATAAGGGGTGCTGGCCAAATGATGCGCATCAATGACAATCGACACGGACAAAAGTTCTTAGCAACTGGATCCCTCTAGATACCAAACGTGTTACAGAAAGACCACCGACCTGATAACTAAAGATCTTCACGAAAACTCCAGAAGAAAAGTGGAATGTTCAATGAGGCACTCTAGCGAGCAGATTCCACTAGGCTACTCTTTCGCGGGACAGCAAAAATAGATGAGTAACAGACGCCGGTTCGAATTACTCGACGATTAACGGGATTGGAGGTGATACATTTGAAATATTTGCACACAATTACCATCGCATCACATGTAGTCCCACTCCGCAACATTATTTGCGCGATTTTTGATTTCGTACACTCCATTAAAGCACTAGATATTTTTCCCACTGTACCCAGGTATTCATCTGGGCCCACTGCTTGCTGAACATTCGAGTCTTTGAATTTTTTATGTGACACTCTTTATTTCCACTGTTTTCACCAAAACACTGTTTTGGAAATAGCCTCATCATTATTTGTTGTGCATACGAAGACAAATGCTAAGAAATGTGGCATTATTGATTCTCATAATCCTTCCCAAGCTTCCCAAGCCGCTCGTTTCCTTCGGCTCAGCTCTGGAACTAAGTCGCTCAACATAACGATTTTCCGATCTAGATAGACATAACTGGAGCATTCGAAGATATTCGCTCCGCTAAGCGTAAATGCGGCATACGAAACCAAACTTTTCCTCATGAACACTGTTTTTGCGAGATTTAGTCCAAGACCAATCTTTCCACAAACTTTATCAATGTCACCAAGCATACGTTCCGCTTGGCTAATGTTTGGCGTTATAAGGACAATGTCATCAGCAAAGCGAAGATGATGTAACTGCCGACCATCGATTTTCGCTCCTATATTATCCATTCCAATGTTCGCATAACATTCTGAAAGGTGGCGGTAAATAATTTTGGCGAGATGGTATCGCCTTGTCTAACTCCTCTTTTGACGCCAATGCCAATATCGTCGTAAAATGGTGATATCTTGGCTGTAAAATTTTTATACAGCTCACGAAGAATCTTTATGCACTGAGTAGGTTCTCCTTGGCTGTCAAGGGCTTCCATGACTGCTTCTATCTCGATTGAATCAAAGGCCTTCTGTGAATCGATGAAAGTGAGACAGAGTGGTCTTTTGTACTCTCGTGATACTTCAATGAGCCTTGCTATCGTGCGGATGTGGTCTATCGTACTAAAACCTTTTCAAAATCTTGCTTTCTTACATGGCTGTCTTTCGTTCAGTGTTTTGTCAATCCTGGTTAGGGTACCACAAGGGAAAAGTTTGTACACGATAGACAGCAAGCATATTGAGCGATGATTGCCGATATAGCGTATGTCGCATTCTTGAACAACAATACGGTCATGCTGGTCTTTCACAGAGTAGGGCCCTTACATTCAGACAGGTAACGTGTTAAGAACCTGGCCAGTGTGTTTACGAATACTGGCGGAAGGTTCCTCAGGCGTTCTGGTCTTATCCTGTGCTTACCTGGTGCTGTTCATTTTTCATCAACGAAATGGCATGTGGGATTTCGGAAAGGAGAACCGGTGGTACAACATATCCACCCTCCATTATTTTATATGACAGAAGCTCGACGTGGCTATCGAAGAGATCTGAGTAGTATTCGTGAACGATTTTTTCTATTGCCTTTCTGGGCGCTGTAACTGTGCCGTCTGGGCGTCGGAGTGCAATTATCTTGGTCTCGTAATTGGCAAAGCTTCGGTGGGTTTTGCGAATAGTATTTCCAGCCTCTGCAGTTTCGACCATTACTGCTGGTCTTCTCTCTTTATGATTTCACATCGCCTGTCTGCATTGTTTTGCAAGTTCGTGCGCTAGTTCGCGGTTGCCTGCAGCTTCCGCGATTCCACGCTGGCGTATCAGCTCGAGTGTTTTTGGCGACAGGCGTCTCTTAGAGTCTTTCGAACTCTCAGGTTTCATAGCGCTAATATGAGGATGCTGAGTGAGCTTATCGGATTCTTCGTCGATATTATCGGCAACGGAATTAGCACAACAGCCGACTAATGAGTTGAAACAGTCCCACTTTATCGTGGTTCCGGGACTTCGGTTTTTGAGTTCAGCGGCTTTTTCTCCTTTCCGAGAATCTTGCACGAAGAAGACAGTGGTCTGATTCCCTGTAGAATTTTGGGACAACAGCGACATCGGTTAGGCGAGACCTTCTATTTACTACGATGTGGTCTATTTCGTAGCGGTGCTCTCCACTGGGGAAACCCACGTCCAGCATTGAGGGTGGGGCTTCTGGAACTGCGAGTTACCATAGATGGTCTTGTTCGTCATAATAAACTCAGACAGCCGCTCACTCTGTTTGTTCCATTCTAATCTGTGGGTGCCATTGTGACGTTCTTCAGACGTTCTTCTTGGTCTAGTCTTGGCGTTGAAATCTTCAATGGTAACCTTGAAGGATGTGTGGTCTTCTTTGTAGAACTTCTCCAAGTCCATATATAACGCTTCGACTTCTTCTTCGCCACAGTTTGATGTCTGCGCGCAAACGACAAGATTGTCAAAGGCGGAATTGATCCACGTCTTCTTAATCGTAAATGTCCGATTCGGGTTGTAAGTTGTTCGAATGAATCGATGTTCATGGACTAACTCGTGTTGACGAGAACGCCGACGCCGCCGACTCCTCTACTGTCGCATGTTTCGAGCAACAGTTCTTCTCCGGTGTCATAGACGGCGCTGAATGGGCGGTGTCGTCTCGTCTTGACCAGGCCAATGACGTCTTACCTTATCCCTCTTGCTTGCATAAGCAAGCTCTCTATCGAGGACTTGGACGCAAGTACACGTGCATTGTAGGTACAGATCGTCACCTTAGTTCATTGTAATCCAGGCAGCTTCCATTGGCCCTGAGATTTTAGCAGCCTCTCCGTACTCGCCCTCATTAACAAGTTTAAATTTTGCAATTCAGCGGAAAAAATATGCGAAAATATGACCGAAACTTGGGCGAGGCCACAGCAGATGCATTAGCAGTGCAGATATAGTCCTTTTCTAGATCCAGGACGAGTTGCGAAGAAACATCAAGGTTACATGAAAGTGCTTTGACCACAACAAAAATTACTGTTTGTTGGCAACGACTGTCAATAGGTAGAAACCTCTATTCCTTGTTTTTTCCCTTTTGTTTTAAGACTATATTACACGCATAGTTTATCGAGATTTAACACTTCTTAGTAAACGTTGAAATTTGCAGTTCTGTATTTGAACATCCACGTATCTCCCTCATAAACGGATTTCAACTCGGCTAGTCGCGAGGCTTCATGGCGCGACCCCAGATGGTTGATAGAGGTTTATCGCAAACCAAGAGCAGCCTTTGGTATTCTGAGACGCAGGTAGGTCTAGGTGATAACTTCTCTGTTTTTGCAACACCGATTTAGCAAATACTCCCGAAAACGTATAAAATGCATGCGCGCGAAGGTGTGTTCTCGTTTATGAGGATTGTATTCTACGGATCATTTTGGCCAAAACCTTGTAATCACTTGGCAGAAAAGTGTAATAGAAGGCGGTTTGAAGCTGCCTCCAACAAATAAACTCCCTTCTGACCTACGAGAGACTTAACAGGTTGTGTAATACCACACCGTTCCTTTCCGAAATCCGACATGCCATCTCGTCAGTGAAACATCAAACAGCACCAGATCCGGAAAGGATAAGATCTGAACCCCTGAAGAACCTACAGCCAGTCCTTGTAAGCACACTGCCTCGGCTCTTCACACGTTACCTGTCTGAATGCAAGGTCCCTATTCAGTGGAAGACCAGCAAGACCGTGTTATTTTTCAAGAAAGATGACCTACACGATATCGGCAACTATCGCCCAATCTGATTACCGCCTGTCGTCTACAAACTTTTCACTCGAGTCATCCTAAACAAGATTGACAAAACACTAGACGAAGGATAACCATGTGAGCAAGCAGGGTTACGAAAAGGATTCAGGAGATAAAGTATATTCACACGATTACAAGGCTCATTGAAGTATCGCGAGAGTACAAAAGACCGCTCTGCCTCACTTTCATCGATTTACGATTTACAGAAGGTCTTTGTTTCAGTTGAGATAGAAGCAGTCTTGGAAGCCCTTGGTAGTCAAAAAGCCCCTACTCAGTACATAAAGATCCTTCGTGAGCTGGACAAAAACTCCACAAACAAAGTATCTCCATTCTACAACGATATTAACATTGACGTCAAAAGAGTAGTTAGGCAAGGCGATACCACCTCGCCAAATTATTTACCGCCACCCTCCAGAACGTCATGTGAACATTGGAATGGATAATATAGGAGCGAAAATCGATGGTCGGCAGTTACATCATCTTCGCTTTGCTGATGACATCGTCCTTGTAACACCAAACATTAGCTAATCGGAATGTATGATTGGTGTCATTGATAAAGCCTGTGGAAAGATTGGTCTTTAACTAAATCTCACAAAAACGACGTTCATGAGGAACGGATTGATTTCCTATACCTATTCACGCTCAACAGAACGAATATTTCTGAACGCTCCAGTTATGTCTATCTAGGTAGGGGAATCAATTTGATGAACAGCCTAGCCCCAGAGCTGAGCAGAAGGAAATGAGCCGTTTGGGGAGCTTTCAAGAGCATCGAGGATGAAGTGGAGAAAACAAAGAACACCCGACTCTATGCCCATCTCTTCGACTCAACGGCACTTTCTGCCGTAACGTACGCGTCAGAAACCTGGTCGCTGCGTAAGCAGAATGAAAGGTCACTCAGCGTTATCGAACGTGGAGTTGAAAGGACGATGCTAGGAGTATCCCGTTCCACACAATTAAGGGATGAGATCCGAAGCTCCGGTCTGCGTCAACGATCAAAAATCGAGGATGCCGTTCTGTACGCCAAACTGTCGAAGATAAGGTGGGTCGGACACACAATGCGTATGAATGACAACCGATGGATAGGAGCCATTAGTGACTGGATTCCTCGGGATGTCAAACGTATTGCAAAAAGACCTCCGGCTCGATGGTCAAAAATTTTCACTAAGGGCCTAGAAGAAAGATATGATGTTCGACGAATCCCTTGAGAGAGCAGAACTCATTGGGTTACTCTTGCAAGCGGCAATGAAAAATGGACGATTTACTGGCGCCCGCTCGAGTCACTCGACGATCAACGGGACTACAGGTGATTGGCAGAGAAAAGATAGCACAACCAAAGACTACACGCTGCTTGTCGAAACGGTTGAAACTTGTGCCGAACGCGCTTGAGTTCCTAAAACAAAAAGTTCAGACGGACTCTCTATTACGACTAAGCAGTTTGTCGAAAAGAGAAGGAAAGTGAATCCTGATACCGGTGCAGCACAAACTTCAGCCGTAGAAGATCTTTGCAGTAGAAGCTACATCAGTATAGTCAGAAAACGTAACTAGGGTCAGCCCTACGACAACCTAATTTAAAAATGTGCCGCTGGGATCCATAGTACTATAATGTCTCACTGCCATCCCTAATTAACCGAGAAAGGATCAGCACCACATCTCCATGACATGAAAAAGTGCTCTACGTTTTCCGTCCCACATTTTCTGCGTTGACCATCGAAATTCTCGCCGGAGAAAAACCGGCCGAAATTGTACACTCTAAATTTCGAATTGCGATAGAGAACATGAACAAAAGCACAATTCAAGAATATATGATACCACTTTCTTTGACTTTCTTCGAGCGGTAGGCCAAAAACTCCATGTACTTCTTGCACACAATATGACATGGTACCTTGGTGGCCATATTTACAGCCATCATGCCCAAGAAAGATGACAGAAGCGATCTGTAACAAAGAATTTTAGCAATCTGCTAACGATCACAATACTTCATGATGTCACTGTGTCAACACTAAATGAAACAATAGGAGTACTTCAAAATAGGCAAAATGCAATGGAGATGATGATTTACGAAAACAGCATTTTTCACGAAAAAGAATATCTTTGAAAAAGTACTCTACCCAACCACAATGATTTCTTCCAAGCTCTTCTTCATCACTACTCTCGTCGTCAATTGGATAGTTATGCTGCTGTGTGACTCCTCGTTGATGGATCGTAGGCTCTACGGTCTTCGAACAAAATACTTTTATCGTAGCTAAAAAGTGGGCATTCTATTACGAAATCTACTAAATTAAGTAAATGACAATGACAAGAACCAATGGAAAAGCAGAAGGAGTTTGGACTCGCATTTATCTTCCATAGAACATAATAAAGCAAACTGGTTGAGCTTCTTCGGCTCCAAGCGTTATTCAGCTAACCTAGCAAGCGATTCTTCTCGCGCAAAATAATGACCTTTAATCCCTTCTGAGAAAGATGAGAATAAGATACACGTTAACAACCGCGCGCCAGCTTATCAATGAGAGTACGTAAAAAAACGAATGAAAGCTGAAACAAACCAGGAATGAGCTGAGTCGCCATTTTTGTGAGAATGCAAAGAATAGCAGTTCACAAGGAAATCGGCACGCATGACAAAATCTCGTAAAGGGTGAACTTAACTTGGGAAGTCACAGCATTCGAGAATGTGTGGAAAAAAGGTAATTAAACAGAGGTTCTGACCGTTTAAAGAACATGAAGGAAAGCTTTTCACTCACTCGCAATAAACCGATACAAAGAAAAACACAACTGAAAGCAACGAACTTGCCCTTAACAAACATTGATACTTGGTACTTGATACTTCAGTGACCCATCCTCACTGGTTGTGCGGGCCCCAGCATAATCTCCATTTTCGGAGACTTGCTGGTTATGCTATTATAGTTCTCCGGAGTCCCGAGGTCAGCGTAGCCAAAGTCTGCCTCAGGTCTTCACCACCACGGAACGTTGCAGCCCTTGTGGATCAGAGAGAGATTTGCTACCATGCGACTTTGATACCAGGACGATGGTGGATCCTGGTATTGGTTTACTCTTAGCTAGGCTTTCTGATAGAATCTCCAGACTCCTTCTCAACATGGGAGACCTTGCCAGAGAATGAATCTCCGCTGCACATCGCAGTTCGACACGCAAGAATACCTCCCAGCCATGATGAGGCGGTAAACCGTTAGGAGGCACCTTAGCAGACAAGTGGGAATATCTCAGCACCATAGTGGCACCACCATTTCACATCGTGCGGATGCCGTGGGAAACAATAATAGGCATCAGTTAGGAAGCTGACAGCCTTAGTTTTTGTAAACATAGTCAAATAATTAAAGCTTTTTCATAACCGTCAGTTTTCGCTGTGAGTAATGAGAAGGCGTATTACGGGCATTGGCAATTACCGTAAGGTTCAACGCGCGAATGTGTAATTTTCGAATTCTTTCCAGGCGGAGAAAAATCATGGATGTTCTCACATAGGAGTACACTGTGGGCTTCGTTTCCGGACAACGTTTCTTTTTCTCTCATAGTAGTTAAAATTCCCTGCTGAAGTTTGCTGTTGCCTTTGCTTGTGTTATTGGAGGATTTTTACTCACTTACACTTACTTGGACGTATTGGAGGTTTTTTCGTTTTTACAAAAGTTGTATTACTTATGGTGCACCATAAAACTCCATCAATAAAAAGGATTAATTTGGAAAAAGCTCCTTATTTAATAAGCAAACTTTTTAAAAGGTGGACTGCTGCAAGAGAAATGTGGAATGGAAGAGCATAGAGCAGAGTTGATGGTTTTTTTTGCTGCTAACTACCTTTCCGATGGTTTTGTAAGAAGTGGAAATCGCCGCTTACGTATTCCACTTCAGTTTAGAGACTAGGTTGTCGATCACTGGCTGTGTCTAAGCGGACAATACAGAGCTGGAATGTTCGGAGCAATAATAACATTCTTTACTTATTCAAAAAGTCTATTATGCATTTCTGCATTGATTGGGAACTCCAACGCCCAACTATGAAATCAAGTTGCAACATGTCAAGACTTCTCCTTACCTGGCCGTTGAGGTAGTAGTATGTATTATGAATATATAAATATGGGATATAATATAATAAGGCACACTTCTCGACCAAACGGCCATCTCCGCCTCGGCTTTTGGTGAAATATTCTAGGTCAAACTGGTATTATTCTGTTTTTCACAACTATTTCCCATCATTTCAAAAACAAGTTTTTGAAGAGACTGGAAGCCATATAGTGGATGGTTGTGTGGACGGATACAATGGAACTGTCTTCGCATATGGTAATCTTTGTGGGCTCCTCATTTTCATCCACAGGTCTCTTTCTTATACCAGCTTTGTAAAATATTCTAGGTCAAACTGGGTCGAAAAAGACGTATACGATGTTTGGACCTTCGAACCTTAAATATTCTCGATCCTCAACATCGGGGGGCTTATGCCATGCGCATGTGATGCTCTGTTCAAGAAGCCATATGCAAAACCTGCAGAAGTCTAAAAGAAGGTCTCAGAAGTTTATTTTAAATGCGCCTATGTCTTCGTTTTTAAAAGGGCGTGGGCTTCAACTACGAAGTTTCATGCCGGTTCGTGGAACTGCATAATGAAGAATTCTATGACATGATGAACCACTGTCAACAAAAGCTGTTGATACGAAATGACTCGAAGGTAGCAAAAAAATTGCTATTTCATAGTGACAAACTATTACGACTTTCTGCAGTACGCGCAGTTGCTGGGATTATCGAACACAAAGTTCAGTCCATTATTGACATAGTCGGTTTCTGGATCTTTTTCTAAGTGTAGACTTTGGTAAGTTTAGAGCAATTAAAAACATCACACAGCTTCGGGATATCGGATGCGAAGCAAGACTTGCAGCTGAAACGGCGATGAATAAAGACATCGCCATCGCATTGTATTTTCATTGTGAAAGTTAGTTATTGACACTGATGTGATATTTTAAGCTGTTTTAATCACTGGTAAATACTTGCATTTTTAGGTAAAAACCGAAGAGCAGATGAATGGCCATGTAAATAAAAATAGTGCTACGTTGCACTTCGTGGAATTGGCAGCATCGGGAAGACAGACGCAATCAAAATCTGTGGGTGACCGTTTCAAGGAGGGTGTAAACATCAATCTGGTAAACGGTTTTCCTAGTTTCGGTCTAGATTCTGACATTGACTATTATTTATTTCAGTCACTGTCTGTTCTTCGTCGCGTTATACGAACCTTATCAGGGGTAAACCGTCGTGCTGAGCGCATACCGTATCGCGATTCGAAACTGACCCTTATCTTAAGGGACTCTCTGGGAGGTAAAAGTAGGACAGCTGTCATCGTGAATGTCCACCTTGGCAGACTGTAGGTTCTGAAGCAAATATTGCAGTGCTTACGGATTGATCCATTACAAAACGCCACTGGCTTCTGTTAAAAAATCGGCGAGCGTTGCTAGTTCTTTTATTAGACACTAAGGTTGTTAATCTTTGTGGGAATGCAATTCTATCTGTAGTCTTAGTACTCAAGAATGATGGTGAGTTCAACCATTGTTGGTTCAATGATCTACTTTTAAAACCGTAAATACAAAGAGACGTAAAATTCCATATAGATTTTGGCATTTTCTCATTTAAGACATATGACATTGTACCAAGGAACCTTTGGCCTGATCCATTGCCCATAGTATAAGTTGAAATTCTTGAAGTTAGCCGATATCTCCACTCTATTTCAAAGCTTCAATATTCCCGGCAAGTTTGAAGAAGTTACAACTTAATGTTTTTTTTAGTGTGCAAGGAAAGGTCGTCTTCACCTGTACAAGACTTAGGGAAAATGTTCTTGATTGTATCGAATGTGCCTTTCGATGCACAACATACTTATTAAACAAATATTTTTTTGTTGCTGTGGCTAAAAGCATATTTCTTAAAAAAGTCCTCTTAGCTCTTTATTGGAATCACAAAGCGACCGTTTCTCAAAAGTTTTTTTCTCTTTCCTGTCCACCAGCGATAAGAAACTTAGCTCTGCCCACATCCAGTGAAGCCTTAGAATAGAGTGGAGATATCAGCTAGCCCCAAGAATTTCAACATGTACTGTCAGCAATAAACTAGAGAAAGGTTCCTATTTACATACGGTGATGCACTACCTCACTTTATACAATCACCATTACAATAGTGAAAATATTTGCAAAAGCTAAACTCTGCCCCAGCAAAATACCGCTGATGAAAATGCATTTAGAACATTCGCGGGCATCAAATGTTAAGAATTTTTGTCGTGATAGAACATAAAAAAGTAGAACATTATTGGCCAAACTATGCAGATGGTTTTTATCTCTATTGACAAAGGCGCATAATGTGCAGTGGTCGGAGGCACCTTGCGGTACAATTACAATTTACAACTGCCCAGTTCCTTCAAAGACACGAAGAGTATCGCACTTTCTTAGCAAAGTCCTTCATTTTGCTGTTTTTTTTTGACATTAATGTTTTTTGCAGATCAATGATACGAAGGAAATGCGTTACGAAAATGAGATTCTGAAAAACGCCATAATGTCTGGAAGCAAAGCTGAGGCAGTACCGAGACACAGTGAGAAAAGGAAAGCCAGTGCCGACAACATCCGGTGTCGTCACGAAGTCTCGAGTCCAGAGTGAAGCAAAGTGACCTGCCTTTTTTAAACACACAGTCTTTTCTGAATACGGCTTCTATTTCTCTAAATACGGTATCGTCGCACCTATCAACTCTAGTGTGCGTGTTCTTTGTCACAAATAAGGACAATGATTTCGATTCAATCTTCCATTGTTGCTCTTTCCGTATTTTCTCCTGGTAATTTTAAACATGAGATATGTTGATTTTGAAAACATTTTTTCCAAATATATTTTCAAAACATATTTAGGTAATGCCAAATACGAGACATGTGAATTTCCTGGATTTCTCAATTTTATTCCATCACATCCTTGAATTGTATATTAGACTGGTTTCGAACGTACACAATAAACAGTCCTCTTATTACACTACTGTTTTGCGATTTGGTTGACATTTCCACCTACAAGAATGTTGGACAGAATCGTCGATTAGTAGGCTGTGTGGTATGTAGCTACTTTTAACGATTACGAAGCAAGTATAGAAAAGAACTTCCATGCAGAGCACAGCTCAACCAAACAACCAAGAAAATTGAGGACTACAGCACTAGTTGAGCGAACGGAGGGATAAATAATGATACTGGTGCTTAAACATATTTTCTGATTAGTGTATTGTTGAAGGGAAAACTGGAGTTAGTGCACAAAGGGAGATCCTAGAATCTTTCTCAGTCCGTACAATCTGACAGCTGGTTGCATAGAAAGATCGCGTAGAGACTAAACAGTAGCTCATGAACAAAGTTTATGTAGAGATATTATAGCTTCTGTTAAAATTTCACGTTGATTTGTTTGAAAACTTGATAGATAACGTTCATTGTTTTGTGGAGAATGTTGTCTGTAGCACGTGAAGTTTATCGCCTTCAGCATACGGTAGCAGCGCGATGAGGAAAGCATATAAGAAGGCCCATGTAAGATAATAATAGCAGTGTAATGAGGCTACCACATTAGAAGGTACGTGTTATAGTAGTGGATCATCGTGATTGCATTAAGTCAAATCCACTGGAGCGGACTTCGGCTCGAATGAAATATCTTCACTCGGCAGTGGTCTTTTGTACAAGATGGCTGTTACTGACAGTGAATGTACGTTGGCAAACGTCTCTATTCACTGGACGACCCATATTGTTGTCATCGCGCTTATCTGGGACAGAGCGTAACAGTATTTTAAAAATCGACTTTTCTTTAACCCTGCCGATTAGTCATGTGGAGGTTAAACAGTGTAAGAATGTTTTGGTCGCTGAAATGCCATAAACAACGGTCCGAACATTCCTCATCAGTCCAGTGTCTCTGGGTAATCGAATTGCATCGGTGGCTACGAATTGTTGCTTTATCATCCAGGGAAAAAGCTTGATAAGGACATTTTTGAAGAGTGGAGAAATGGCTTCGGCACATCTGAGTTTGTCACAAATGCCGCAAGCCTCCACCAGGAAAATTGCCACCTTTTCTGCGTTTTGTGGGATCTAAAGGCATGCGATACTATGAGCTTTTAGGCATCTCTATTCCACTTGCATAACTGATTTATATACTGCTGAAGTTCAGTAGTTGGCTAATGCTAACATTATCTGAACAGAGTGTCTCGTAGGATGCAACAATGTCCGTTTACATGGTAGCATCTATGCAGAGAATGCGAAGATGAATCATTCCACAGTTTTCAAAACTTGACTAAGAAGTTCCACTTGATCTATCAAATGTTGATGAATGAGGCAGCTTTGCAAAAAAAAGTAACCAGCTTCGTCACCTCATCACCTATGTTGACAACTTCTTCCCTTTAACAGATGCGTAGGCCTGGAATGTCATTTGTTTTTGGGCTGATAATAGTGTGGGAAAGTGATGGTGAAAAATCGTTGAACCTTTCAGTTTTGTCTGAGTTAACGGAGCTGTAGAGTACCCACTTGGTTCGCAGAAAGCGGTTTTTTTTCAGGCTTTATCAAAGTCGGCAAGCATACGTTCCGGTTGGCTAATGTTTGGTGTTATAAGGACGATATCATCAGCAAAGCGAAGATGGTGTAACTGCCGACCGTCGATTTTCACTCACATATTATCCCATTCCAATTTTCGCACGACGTTCTGGAGGGTGGTGGTAAATAATTTTGGCGAAATGGTATCGCTATGCTTAACCCCTCCCTCGACGTCGGTGTTAACATCGTTGTGAACTTTTCCGAGTCTATATTGAAAGCTTTGACCTCTTCTTTGTCATTGTTCGATGTTTGCGCATAAGCGACGAAGATTGTCAAGGCCGGTATTGATCCACACATTTTTAATAGTAAACGTCCGATTTGGGTTGTAAGCTGTTCGAATGAATCGATGTTCATGGACAAACTCGTGTTGACGGGAACGCAGACGCTGCTGACTCTGTCGCATGTTCCGAGGAACAGTTCTTCTCCGGTGTCACATACGTCGTTAAATGGGTGGCGTGGTCTCGTCTCGGCAAGGCCGATGACGTCATTCCTTGTCTGTCTTGCATGCATGATCAACTCTTCTATCGAGGATTCGGATGCAGGTGTGCGTGCATTGCACATTGTAGGTGCAGATGGTCACCTTCGTTCTATACGATTTAGGTTGATTAGAGCGCCCCTAAGATTTTAAAAACCTTACGGTACTGGTCCTACCCAACGTGTCATAATCGGGGCTCTTTCGGGAGGAATGAGGTCCGTTTCTTTCTTACTGCGTTTAGCATTTTGATGCTCACTTATAGCATGTTTGGCTGCGAATATGGGACTGGATATACTCACGAGTAGCTTGTCAGTCTCTTCCAGAGTGGAACTCACTTGTTGTAGGTGACTCCTAACCGCCTCCCATATACTTCCCAGTCACTTGATTGCAGGCTTTTGGCCGAATTAAGTCGTAAAATACAATCCGCATAAGCAAGAACGCGCCCACACACGCATGCATGAATACGCCTAGCAAATACAGAAAGTATGTACCAAATCATAAGAGCAGAAACAGCGAGTCCATCCGTTGTATCCACCTGCGTCTGAGAGAGGCAATGGTCACTTTTGCTCTGCAATTAGCCCCCTATCCGCCACCTGGGACGCGTCACGTAGCCTCGCGACTAATCAGCTCGAGATTTTCATATGAGGGAGATCCGTGGACACAGCTGATAACGGCTCTAATCTTGAAGGATGAGGGATTGGTTGGCGCCATATTATCACTTATACTCATTTATGGATTTGAATAAGTGTAAGACAGGACATGCTGGTTTATCCTTTTCAATATTCGAAATAACATATGATTTTAAGCCTGCCGCCATGAAACTTTGAGCCATAGATTGTTCAGTTTTTGGTATTGTCTTTGTTTCTTTTCAGGTTTTGGGCAATAAAAGGTAGAATCACTAAGGTGCTCCTTCGTTATCTCAACATATAACAGGCGAGGGATAACAACAAGCTCTCGTTCTTACCAGTACTGATAACCTAGTGGCTTTCAGATTTATTAATTCTCTAATTTCTCACGTACAATACTTTTGTGATACTGTAAGGTTAGAGATACACTTTCTATCGCGATATTGATTAAGTGTTTTAAGAATGACGTCCGGAAACATGCAAAATTTTACATTAGATTCGACGATGAGGTCCATTTGTCTGAACAACGCTCAAGCAAAAGGAGGTGGTGTTAATACCACTAATTCCTACTTAATGTTTCTTGTTTGGCCTGATAGCGGAATCGATTATGAAATGCAAGACGAACTTGCTACAAAACCTGCCAGCAGGATACTTCGGCTTTGTAAAAGAAACACTATACGTAAGAATAAAAGCCGTCATACCTCGACAGGCGCACTTCCTCCGCCGCTGCCTGCAACACCAAGTCGTTTCCAACTTCATCAAACGAAAACGACTTCGGAGATAAGCGATCAATCAGAGGGTAGCCAACAAGTACGAGGCATAGAAATGAAACTGCTTCGAACTGCACTACGAAGCAAACAGAACGAACTATTCGACAGAGTAAACAAGTATGAAACGATTGAGCATTTTTGAGTTTTTTGTTGGGAGAATTACCTTTGGATTAGAATGGTTCCATCCCACCGCTCATTCTTCGGCTTTTAGAATCTATTCAAAACCCTTCAAGCGTTTTTGGAGCCGATACTTTAGATTCTGGTGTGGGAATAGTGAATTTACCTTAAAATCTTTTCCGTTATGTTTCTGTGTTCTATCTGCGCCTGGTGGAATATTTGGTTCTAATTTAAATTTCCTACGCGTTTAGCCAACGTATTCGCTCGCACACACTTTGCAAAGGATTAAGTTCACCGTATACGAACTCGTGTAATCACAATCTCTACCGTTAATGCACATTATGTGATTTTGCCTTGTGGATAGACCACCGTAAAGGCGGCGAGTATTGGTTTACTGTTAGCTGGCTTCTGGATGGAAACATCGGACTCCTTGTCAGCTTGAGAATCCATGTTAAGAGGACGTACCGCATGGTGTGCATCCCAGACGGAGATCCAGGAAGGCCTCCCAACCACGATGAGGCGCTAAACCGTTAGGAAGAATGGGGTGAGTGAACTTCCGCTATGTTACCAAGATCTATAAAATGCAACAGATCATGTTTTGAAAGATTAAACCGTTCTTAACCGACATATTACCTCTGAAAATTGCCGTTTAAAATCGCTATTATCTATGGCTCAGCATAATATGCACTCATTTCTTTGCAGTTAATAACTCAGAATGGTAGTTATTTTTTATTTGAAGATGCGGTTCGACTATTTCAACTGTGTGTTTTTTTGATGGTGGAAAGCTAATCATGGGAAATTCTCCTTAATGTCGACGAGCAATGTTCAATCAAACACCAAACTTCCAAAACGAACCCATTCTGTCATAGTAAAATACGGTAGATTAGAATCCTTTTGGAATTTCTTCAGTGACCTAAGTGTAGTTGAGGGCTTGTTCAGTTCTATTAGGACTTTTCATAGAAAATGGAATATCTGACCTCGCAATAAATATTATTAATCGAAATTAAACCCAATGGAATCTGCTTATTTTCGGCAATGAACAATGAGTTTACCTATGTGATCCTTAACAATTCTGGATTTAAGGATTCGACAAAGCCTTTTAATCTAGGTTTAAAAGTGCTTGATGTGCTCTGAACGTGGGGCTGGGTGTACTCACGGCTGGCTTGCCAGGCTCTCGCAGAGCGAACATGGAGCTTATTTGTTGGAGGCGACTCCTAGCCGCCTCCCATCTACCTCTCTGTCAATTGATTGCAGACTTTTGACCGAATTGACTCGTAGAATACAATCCACATAGGCGAGCATCCACACTCGTATGAGTGAATACGCCTAGCAAATACAGAAAGTATGTGCCAAATCGCCGCAGCAGAAACAGGGAGTCCATCTCCGTTTGGCGCATTGTCCGCGGTCACTCTTTTGCAATGATGATCGTAAAAGGTGAAGTAGGGCGTCGTCGTATCAAGATATCTTTCGCCTGATCCATTGCAAATGGTACACGGTAAAATTCGTGGAATTGACCAACATCTTCCTCCTATTTTATGGCTGTAATGCTCTCAGAAATTTTAAAGAAGGTAATTCTTGGGTTCCATTTACTGCGCAAAGAAAGCTCATCTTGAGCTTTTCGAGACATACGGAGAACGTTCTTGATTACCGTACTGAATGTGCCCTTCGATGCACAATATGCTTATTGCACGGATCATTTTACTGCTCAGATTAAGAGCAGATTTTTTAAGGAAGCCTTACTAGCTCTCTGTATGGGTCGTACGACGTCTCTATCACGAGGTTTTCCCTTTTTCCTATTTCAGTTTTGTAAGTAACTGAGCTCATCCCACGTCCAGTGGGGCTTTAAAATAGAGTTAAGATATCGGCTAACCCCAAGAACATCAGCTATCGTCAATGAACTATGCGAAGGCTCCCGTATGCGTACAATGATGAACCTCCTCACTTTATACAATCAGCATTATGCTCAATTGCTTGAAGGACACCAAGAGTATCACACTTTCTAAGCGAAATCCTTTACTTTGCTTTTCCATTTTGACATAAGGGTTTCTTATAAGTCAGTAACTTGGAGGAGATAAGTTATAAAAAAAAACAATTTAAAAAAAACGCATTAATGATCTGGAGGCAGAACTTAAGCACTATCGTGATGCGGAGCGAGAGGCAAAGCAAGGGCCGACAACATCCGGGGTCGCCACACGATCTCGAGCCCAGAGTGAAACAAAATGTCCTGATTCGTTTAAAATCTGTGGTCTTTCTTTTAGTATGTGTTCTAATCTTTTGACAACGGTGTCAGTGAATATCCCAATTGTAGTTCCTGAGTTCCTTGTCGGAAATATTGGCAACACTTTCAACATGGTCTTCGGGTGTTGTTGTTTTTTATTTTTCTGACAGTTTTAAATATCAGTTATGCTGGTTCTGAAGATATTTTATTCCAAATCTTTCAGATTTTGGTGTTGCCATGCATGAGTAATGCGAATTTTGTAGATATGTCAATTTCATTTCATCAGTTTGCCGAATTGTATATAAGACGGCTTTCGAACGTACATAATAAACATTTCTCTGATTGCACTACCATTTCGCGATGCGGTTTTCAACGCGATGATTTCCATCCATAAGGGGGTCAGAGGGAATCGTCAACCAGTGGATTGAGTTGTATGTAGCCACTTCCAACGGTCATGAACCAGTAGGAGTACACTTAATAAAACGAAAGTGCATCAACTAGAAGGCGTTTAAAGTTTAAAGAAAATTCCGTTCAAGAAAACACCTCTGCTGTTTGTAGATCACCATGAAGAAGTCGACAATGGCATTTCTATTTGCCTTCACGCTAGAGGTGGGATCTGCTCAGGTTCAAGCATTTTCCAAGTAAGATCTTGTATAGAACGCGCCTGGTGAGTGTATTAATGAGAGAGGCATTGAGATCGCTGTGTATTTACATGGAGGAGCATAGATTGCAAAGACAAAGTAGACCAAACCACTCTATTTTGATATGCATGGGATCGAAAAGTAAATGGTAAAATTAGTAGGATTGAAGGTCAATTGGAGGAATTTACGAGCTTTAAAATGGATCCAATAATTTCATTTCGAAAAACTTTGCAGGTGCTTGAGTTCCAGTGCAGAAATCTAAAAGGAATTGAGCAGGCCCTCTCACGACCGCATATGGCAGAGTTGAAAATGCCAGATCGCCATTTTATCAAAATATAACGGTTGCTATTTCATGTGGATACTACGTCATTGCTATGCAATATTAGGGTAATATAGCGCTTGGATAATATAGTGGATAAAGGAAAAAGAATTCTATGCTGATCTAACAAACCTTGTAGTAATCTGCCGAACAAGGAGAGATGCTATAGCTGTTCGCTTGTGGAAAGTAGTTTTCGAGTCCGTTGTCAGAACCGGGTAATCGCATATTATGCTCGACTTCGTGAGAATTCGCTACGCAGGAGTTTTGTCGTTGTCACAGAGGAAGTCTGCATCTTGAATAATTAAACCGTTTACGTCAGCAGTAATATAATAATAACGATATCACGATGTCAAGAAGTGTAATCAGTACAGAAGCAAAAAAGGCAATGGAGTTAACGAGCAAAGATAAGCCAGTGAGCGAGCAATTACATTGGGAACACGAATATAACTTCTGCAATACTCTTATGGTGCAATATGGGAAAGATGCTTCATGTTGACCACAACTCGACCAGTCTCAATCAATAAAACTGGGAACTGTAGTAGCACCATCTGAGCGAAATGAAAGATGAATAATGAATCCCGGGCTTGTATAGATTTTCTGATTGAAGTAGTGTTGGTAGAGAAAAGTAGAGCTAATGCTCATAGGGAGATTCTAGAAGATTTCTCAGTGCGTAGAATCTGACAAAGCTCCTTGCACAGAAGGTTCTTGTGAATACCAAGCAGTAGTCCGTACACAAAGTTTATTTGGAGATACAATAGCTTTCAGAGAAAGTACATGGAAATTTATTTGAGACTCGAAAGACAAGGTTCGTTGTTTTCTAGAGAACACTGTCAGCAGCATGTGAAGTATTAGCAGCTTCAGCATACAAAAACAGCACGATGAGAATAGCAAATAAGGAGGCACATGTGAGGTTGTAATAACAGTGCGATGAGCCCACTACATTAGAATGCACATGTTACAGTAGTTGTCCTGGAGTAGAGTTTTTCAAATCCGCCATCAGAACGGAATGATCGCTGGCTCAAAACAGAGTCCTCGAGTTCGTATAAACTTTAAACGCGAAGCTTTTTTATTACCACTGAGCGCAAACCTAAGCATGGATAAACAGGCTCTTTATCATCTATATCACCTGTAGTCCCGTTGATCGTCGAGTGACTCGAGCGGGCCCCAGTAAATCGTCCATTTTTCATTAACGCTTGCAAGAGTAACTCAATGAGTTCTGCTCTCTCAAGGGAGTCGTCGAACATCATATCTTTCTTCTAGGCCCTTCGTGAAAATTTCTGACCATCGAGCCGGAAGTCTTTTTGCAATACGTTTAACATCCCGAGGCAACCAGGCACTAACGGCTCTCGTCCATCGGTTGTCGTTTATACGCATTACGTGTCCGGCCCACCTTATCTTCGACTGTTTGGCGTACAGAACGGCACCTTCGATTTTTGATCGTCAATGCACGTTGAAACTTTGGATCCCTTCCTCTAACTGCGTGACGTGGGATACTCCTAGCATCGTCCTTTCGACTGCGCGTTCGATAACGCTGTTTTTTCATCCTGCTTACGCAGTGACTACGTTTCTGACGCATACGTTAATGCAGGATGAAACGGGGGGAAACGTGGGCAGGGAGTCGGGTGCTCTTTCTCCTCTTCACTACATCCTCGATGACCTTGAAAGCTCCCCAAGCCGCTCATTTTCTTCTGCTCAGCTCTGGAACTAAGTCGTTCATCATATTGATTTTCCGATCTAGATAGACGTAACTGAAGCATCCAGAGAAATTCGTTACGTCGAGCGTGAATGGGGCACACGAAATCAATCCGTACTTTATAAACATCGTTTTTGTGAGATTTAGTCGAAGACCAATCTTTCCACAGGCTTTATCAAAGTCGTCAAGCATGAGTTGCGCTTGCCTAATGTTTGGTGTTATAAGGACGATGTCATCAGCAAAGCAAAGATGATGTAACTGCCGTCCGTCGATTTTCACTCCCATATTATCCCATTCCAATTTTTGCATGACGTTCTGGAGGGTGGCGGTAAATAATTTTGGCAAGATAGTATCCCCTTGCCTAACCCCTATTTTAACGTCGATGTTAATATCGTTGTAGAATGGCGATATCTTAGTTGTGAAATTTTTGTACAACCCACGAAGAATCTTTATGTACATAGTAAGGACTCCCTAACTACTAATGGCTTCCATGACTGCTTCTATCTCAAGTCTTTTGTGCTCTCGAAATACTTTAATGAGTCTTGTTTTCTTGTGCATTTGGCCCGTCGTACGAAGTTTTTTTCGAAACACTGCTTGCTCACATGGCTGCCCTTCGCCCAGTGTTCTGTCAATCCTGTTTAGGATAACTTGAGCGAAGAGTTTGCAGACGGTAGACAGCAAGCAGATTGGACGATAGTTGCCAATGCCGCGTAGGTCACCTTTCCTAAACAACAGCACCGTCTTGCTGGTCTTCCTCTGAGTAAGGCCCTTATATTCAGACAGGTAACGTGTGAGGAGCCGAGCCAGTGCGCTTACGAGGACTGGCGGAAGGTTCTTTAGGTGTTCTGGTCTTATCCTCTCCGGACCTGGTGCTGTTCGATTTTTCACAGACGAAGTGGTATGTCGGATTTCGGAAGGGAGAACCGGAGGTACAACATATCCATCATCTTTATTTCATGTGACGGGAGGTGGTCGTGGCTATCGAAGAGTTCTGAGAAGTACTCGTGAATGATTTTCTCCATCGCCTTTCTGGACGCTGTAACTGTTCCGTCTGGGCGCCGGAGTGCAATCATTTTGGTCTTGTACTTGACGATGCTTCGTTGGGCTTTGCGAATGCTTTTTCCAGCCTCTGCAGCTTCGACCATTACTGCTGCTCTTCTCTCTTCGAGATCATCTTTTATTGCCTGTTTGCATTATTTTGCAAGCTCGGACGTTAGTTTGCGGTTGCGTGCAGTTCGTGCAATTCCACGCTGGCATATCAGCTCGAGTGTTTCTGGTGACAAGCGTCTCTTTGTGACTTTCGAACTCTTAGCTTTTATAGCGTTAACGTGAAGATGTTGAATGAGCCGATCGTATTCTTCGTCGATGTTATCGATAGCGGCATCTTCCCAACAGCCGACTAATGAATTGCATGAGCCCCAATTTATGGTGGCTTGGGACTTCGTTTTTTTTTTAATTTATCAATTTGTTCTCTTTCCTGCGAGAAATGAAATCTTGCACGAAGGAGACGGTGGTCGGAACCCGTGTATAATTTTGAAACAACAGCGACATCGGTTAGACAAAACCTTTTATTTACTATGATGTGGGCTATCTTGTTATGCTGCTCTCCACTGGGAGACTTCCACGTTCGGCGTTGAGGATAGCGCTTCTGTAATTTCAAGTTGCCGTTAATGGTTTTGGACCCCATGATAAACCCAGATAGCCGTTCACCCTGCTCGTTCCATTCTAATTCGTAGATCCCAATGTGACTTCTTTCAGACTTTCTTCTTGGTCTAATTTTAGCGTCAAAATTTCCAATGATTACCTTGAAGAGTATGCGGTCTTCTTTGTAGAACTTTTCCAAGTCTATATTGAAAGCTTCGACCTCTTCGTCGTTGTTTGATGTTGGCGCATAAGCGACGAAGATTGTCAAAGCCGGTATTGATCCATATATTTTTAATCGTTGACGTCTGATTCGGGTTGTATGTTGTTCAAATGAATCGATGTTCATGGACAAACTCGTGTTGAAGAGAACGGCAACGGTGCCGACTCCTCTACTGTCACATGTTCCGAAGAACAGTTCTTCTTCGGTGTCATAGACGGCGTTGAATGGATGGCTTGGTCTCGTCTCGGACAGGACGATGACTTCGTACCTTGTCTTTCTTGCTTGCACCATCAAGTCTTCTACCGACGATTCGGTTGCAAGTGTACGTGCATAATAGGCACAGATTGTCACCCTTGTTCTTCGGCTATCCAGGTAGCTTACAATGGCGCTGAAAATTTAGCAGCCTCTCCGTACTGGTCTTAACCAATCTTCAGTAAGAATCAGGCCGTTTATAGGAACAGTAATACAATAATGACTACATGCCAATACCGAGACAATACAAGCACAAGAAGATAGTAAGGGTGAACAAGCGAGTGTAGGGTAATGACTGAGAAGTGATCCTTAAAAGAACAGAGCAGCTCCGTATAGGATGGTAACGAAATAAGACATGCGAGTGTGGTATAGAATACCACAGTAGTGGTTTGAAAAGTTAGCATGTCACAAGGCATTGCAATAACAGCGCAGTGAGGTCGACGTATAAAGAGGTGCATGCGGGGTTATAATACCTAACTTATTCCCTTAATACCTTTAACTTATTCGTAACTATGGAAAGTGTGGGTCTTCGTGATTGCACTGTGTCAGATCCAGTGGAGTGGACCTCAGCTTGAATGAAGTAACCTCACTGGGCAGTGCTCCTTTATGCAGGACGATTTTCGTTGACAATGATGGTACGTTAACAATCATTTGTTCTTCTGAACGTTCCATATTGTCGCTAACGAAGTTAGTTGGTAAACAACATAAAAAGTTTTCAAAAATCATCCTCTCTTTAACACTGTCGATTAGTCGTGTGGTGGCTAAAGAATGTCCGAATGCTTTGGTCGCCGAAATGCCAAAAACAGTTATCTGAACATTCATCATCAGTTCAGTTCTCATGCAAAGCGAATCGTATCATGTCTGTACTATGAACTTTTCGCATCTTCTACGTATTCCACTGCAATAGCGGACTTATATGCTGCCGAAGTTCAGTACTGACCAATTCAATTGTTAGTGTCTGCGGTGGGGAACGAACGTGCTATTGTCCTTTCCGTGGTGAAACGCGTTCACTACCACACCATGCGGGTCCTTCGTTTCGCCTGTCTCTCAGCTAGTTCTATCAATCTTTTGCCATCAGCAATCACCCGTTAGCGAGATTGATCTGCGGAGCCCAAATCGGCAACGACCAGTTAAGCTGAGGCTGCAGTTATAATCACAATTTTTACTTGTTAGTAACTCCCACAACCGACTTTCTATTAACCTGGGCATTGATCAAGTAATTCTTCGTATTTTTGTTAAGCAAACTTGTTATTTTTTGAAATATTCGCAAAACTCTGGACCGCAGATGTCTATGGTGGAGAGCGAACGCGCTATTTTCCTTTCCGGGGAGTAGCGCGTTCACCACCACACCATGCGGGTACTTTGTTTCGCCTGGCTCTCAGCTATTTCTATCGATCTTTTTGCCACAGCAATCACCCGTCAGCGGGGTTGATCTAGCGCGTTCGTTCCCCACCGCAGACACCTGCACTCCGGAGTTTTGCAAATATCTCAGCATCATTAAAGTTGTTTACTATGCTAAAAAATTTATGGTTCGAGTTCTCACCGCTGAGTTTATGAAAATGTTGGAACGAGGAGGTTGTGTGTCACTTTGACTTTCCACACTGAGAAGAAGACGAGATCTCCGAAACGTCCGCCAGTATGCTACTGAATAAACCTTCTTGTTAACAACTTCGTGCCTGCTCATCAAGGGAGCAGTGAATTATTTCACCATTGCCGAGATTAAAAGAAAGTCGGCTTCGGGGTAAGAAGATAATCATCTGTTGATCTGCCAAAGTGAATAGTTCTTTCCATGAACCTCGACGTTCTTGGTGTACAAAGCTGACGGGCACTTTATTTGATGTCATGTTGATCGTCGACGATTAACGAGATAACATTTGGTGGAGGAAATGGTCATGATTAAGACTAGCATCTTTTAAACAGTTTCACCAGCGAACTTCGGGTTTTCTGCGGTCTTGCAGGCGCAACAATGTTTCTCAGAACTTTATTATAGCCACCTTACGCCTCCTTATATTCTATCTTCTTCGAACTTATTAACGTAGTCGTCGCGAGTGAAAATAAATAATGACTATGATAATTTAAAAGAGTTTTCTCATAAAATCGAAACGCATTAGATTTACTTTTTAAAAATTTGCTTTCGTTTAACCTTTTCTTGAGAAGTCGATACGATGTGACACATGTTGCTGAACTTACAACTGGTCGTTAAGAAAGCTCCACTTGTCTAACATCTTGACCTTCATCATCGTGGCGATGGCTCGGAGTCAAGTGAGCACAGCAGCTGTTCCTTGAAATACGTGAAATTTTTTCACTAGACTCGAGTCCCATCTGTGGGAGCGATCCACATCTCCTAAAAGAATGTAGAACCTTCAAGCAATTGAAAAGCTTATATGCTTGCAACATTTTAATGTTCACTTAGGGTTTTGTCCCGTTCCAATAACTTTTTTCACGAAAGTCTGCTTGATCGCCTTGCTATTCTTCGTCCAATATTCTATCAAATAAAAACAATCCGAGTGAAGATGTGATAAGCGAAACACTGCAGGACAACTGGGCAAAAATTTGCCGCAGTCGTGTAGATCTCCCTTGTGTAACAAGAGCTTTCTGCTGGTATTTCATTGTCAACGTGTCTTGTATTCCGACAAGCGACATGTGAATTAACAAGCGATTGTGTGAATGAAGCATGCCGATAGTGCCTCATAATGTTTGTGTTTATTCTCATCAGAGCCGAGCACTCTCCAATTGCTCAAAGACGAGGAGTTATACCGAAACTTTGTATGGAAGAAGGTTTAGGACGCGATGCACACCTTTCACCATGTCGTATGGAAACAGGTGGACGAGAACGCTGCAGAGAATGAAGTAGAAGGCGTAGATGTTATCAACTTACCTTGTTTTATAATTATCAATGTGTCAGCGAACATTACCAGTGCTCCCACTAACTTCCGCAATTTCAGCCGGTAGTGGTAACACTCTTTCCTTAAAGTCCTCTTTCACCACTTCCGTTCATAATTTTGCAAATTAAGATATAAGGTGGTGATTTCTACGACTCAAACGCTTGCTCACCAGCTCGAGTGTTCCTGAAGGCAAATGTCTTTTGCTGACACTCAAACTCACTGCTTTTTAGTCCTATCATGAAGGGATTGGCAATCCTAACGTATTCCTTGCCAATATTTGTTGCGCAGGCTTCCACCTTGTCCATTTCACTGCAATCTATGGGTGTTGATGCGATGTCCTTAGGACGCTCTCCTAGAGCCAATTTTTTTTAAATCGCTGACAATGGCCAAGAAATTGCGGTCTTTTCTATAGAACTTCAGCTTTGCTTAATATCGATGTAGGCTGCCGAAACTGATAG